AGAGAGAGAGAGAGAGAGAGAAAGAGAGAGAGAGATGATAGATAGATAGATAGAGAGAGAGAGAGAGAGAAAGAGAGAGATGATAGATAAATAGACAGACAAGACAGACAGACAGACAGATTAGATAGACAGACATAGATAGATAGAAACTTTGCTATTGAGGAAAGAGCTATCCTGCAAGTATGATACAGGTAATCCTCAACTTGCATTGAGGACTACTCACTTAATGATCGAAGTAACCGGCACTGGAAAAAAAAGTGACATGATCAGTTTTCATACTTCCAACTGTTGCAGCACCCCCAGGGTCATAGGATCCAAAGGTGGAGGCTTGGTACCTTGTTCATACTTCCGACAGTTGCAGTGTCCCAGAGTGCACGACCTTTCTTGCCGCAGTCGTTCAGTGAATCCCTGCAGTCGATAAGTTAGCAATCCGGTTGTTAAGGGAATCTGTCTTCCCCCATTGACTTTGCTTGTCAGAAGGTCGTAAAAGGGGAGGGGGTCAGGTAACCTCCAGGACGCTACAGTGGTCGTAAGAGGCTGTTAACGGTCGTAAGGGCGAAAAACGGTCCTGAGTTGTTGTTTTTCCCCAGCGTTGTCGTGATGTTGAACGGTCACTAAATGTATGGTTATAACTTGGGGACTCCCTGTGTTTGGAAATCTCACAACAGTTGAACCCCGTGATGGCGAACCTATGGCACAGAGCCATTTGTGCTGGCACGCGAGCCCCAGCCAAACTTACCTGCACTGCGCATGCGCACGCGCCTCCCAGCTGATTTTCGCCCCGTTTGAGGCCTTTTTCGCCCTCCCGGGGGGTTCGAGGGAAGCCTCTGCAACCTTTGGAGGCCGAAAAACGGGCCCGTTTAGGCACTTCTGGTATTTCCGGAAGGCCCGTTTTTCAGCCTCCCGAGGCTGCAGAGGCTTCCCTGGAGCCTCCGGGAGGGCGAAGACAGCCTCAAATGGGCCGAAAATCAGCTGGGAGCCGTGCGCAGTGCAGGTAAGGGGAGGGGCGGGTGTTACACACACACATTCGCGGGTGGGTGTGGGTGCATTGCATTGTGGGTACCGGCTATGGCCGCGTGCGCACGCTTTTTGGCACCCCAGAACAAAAAGGTTTGCCTTCACTGGTTTAACCTGCTCTGTGTTTTCAATCCTGTGTTCAGATATTGAATCCTCACCTTGTTCCTTTTTAGCGGCCTGATCGTTCCCGAACGGGAGAGTAACGAGACGGTCCCCGAAGTCACGGCCACCTCCGGCTACGCACTCCTGCACTTCTTCAGTGACGCCGCCTACAACCTGACAGGGTTCAACATCACCTACCAGTAAGCTAGCCCCTCCTGCATGCACCTGCCACCCTTGGACTTTGTACAGATAGTCCTCGACTTAACGTCCCGCAATTCAGCCCGAAAATGTCAAAATTGCTAAACCAAACCGTTGTTTGGTTCCATGTCGCTAATTACCTGCCCCAGTCGTTAAGTGAATCCCTGCCCCCTTTTTTTTAAAGTTAGAAACACGGTCGTTAAGTGAATCCGGCTTCCCAGTTGACTTGGCTTGTCAGGCGGTCATAAAACAGGATCCCCTGCGAGACTGCGACCGTCGTAAATACCAGTCAGTTTCCAAACGGCCAAATTTTGATCACGTGACCGCAGGGGATGCTGCAGTGGTCATAAGAATGAGAATTCTCTTATTGGCCAATAAGTGTGGAAAACGGTTGTGAGTCTCCTGTTTCCGTGCCGTTGTAAGTTCGGACGGTCACTAAAGGAATTAATTTATTTAAAATATTTGTAGCGGTCATGAAATCAATGTATTTATTTACTTCCATTTCATTCCACTAAATGGAATTTTACTAAAGCGAGGACTACCTACCCGCATAAAAATGTTATTTAGTGTAAAAGGAACGTTATCTTAAAATTGCATCGGGGATGTTCTTCAAAGGGATGCTTCTCGTAAGACCTGTGGGAGAAACGCTCACCTGAATCAGAAAAGGCGATGCCTCAATATTGTGGCCAGACAGGTAGAGAGCAGAGTCCTAAATGAGTTGTCCACCCACCTGCTGTTAGGGGCAGCTTCTTAGATAATTTAAGTTTGTGTTCCTCACTTCAGCGCGTGCTTTCTTTGGATTTGGGGGGGGGGGGTGGGATTGGAATATCTGGTGGTACCAAAATAATGACCATGCCACAGGTGGGTTAATATTTGGCTGTGAGATCCTGTTCCTGTGTATATTTGTGGTAGTCTGCTAAATGCAGCATCTCCCAAACAGGTGAAGCCTTTTTTCTAAAAGAATCACCTATAAACGCTGCTTAGAAGTTGTTGACAAAAATTGAACACGGTGTATACAATCTGAAGAGAGAGACGGGACAATGTGGGATCGTGGATCTCAACCTTAGCAACTTTACAATGAGTGGACGTCAGCTCCCAGAATTCCCCAGCCAGCGTGCAACTTGGATTTTAGAAGATAATATTTGCAGCTCAGGGTGGTGGTGGAGCAGGAGGAGGAGGAGGAGGAGGAGGAAGAGGAGGAATGATTATGGGGTCTCTGGTATTCTCTGAGCTTGGTGGTTTTCTTGCAGATGTTTCATTACCCAACTAGGTAACCTCATCAGGGCTAGAGGGAAGTGGGGATTGCAGATGGAAGGAAGGAAAGGAAAGGAAAGGAAAGGGAAGGGAAGGGAAGGGAAGGAAAGGAAGGAAGGAAGGAAGGAAGGAAGGAAGGAAGGAAGGAAGGA